CCTAGCGGAACACATGCCTGCCTACTAGGTTTGGCCAAAAAAATTCATAATTGGAAAGAATTTGAAAATTGACAAAACTGTAACTGATGGATAAGATGTGACTAGATTTAGGATTTATTTGACTAAAAATTCGAACCAAATTAATTTAAAATTGTTTGGGTTTTGATTGTTAAGTTTAAAAATTAAAAAACTGATAATTAGGGTAAGTATAACTAAAAAATCTAGAGTTAAAGCCGATTATCATCCCTATACTTTGTGAAAAAATTCAATTTAATCCTTCTACTATGAAATCACCTGAGGTCGTCCCTCTACTTCAGTTTGATCTCACATGTCCTCCCTCTACTATTGAAAAAGTGATCAATTTCGTCCCTCCTTCCATTCTATGGCTAACACCGTCACTTTTTATAGGTAAAGCCTAACGGTTTGGCCAACACTGTCACTTTTCTCCAATTTAATTAGCTATAATAGGGCCCATTAATATCACATCATACTCTATATTAATATCATTCTACATGAATATTTTACCAACTTTTTTTTCAATTATTACCCACATTTATTTATTTCTTTTTATTAATTTTTTAGTTGATTCAATTAAAGGGGTATTTTTCAAAATTATAGTAGGTATTCAAGTAAATTTGATTTTTTTAAAAAGAAGTAGATAAAATTTTTTGAATTTTATTAAGGTTTAAAAAATTATAATTAGAAAAAAAAATTCATAATGCTTCTTACTATCCCTTTAATTATAAATTTTGGATGATTTAAAGTGAGTTTACAATTTGCGATTGTGTTCATGTACGTAAGTAGGTTAAACGAGTACATGAGTGAAATATTTGTCTATATTTGTATTTAATTTAAAAATTAATAGATATAAAACTTTAATATTCAATATCTATTCAAGTATTAAAAGTCTATTATTATTATTTAACTCGTTGAGTATATGTATACTTGTGGATGTATTTACATATTTGTTGAATATTATAATCTTCTAGTGTAAATTAAAATATAATTAAACATATTGCAAAACATGTACTTTACTTCATATATAATTAATATATAAACATAAGTTTTTTTGAATACATTAGTTTGATATGAGAGGTGTGTTTTTAAAATAACCCAGATAAGAATTAGGCTGAAGATGCAAGAAATTTAGTTTGAAAATATCTTAATTATAAATATTAAAAATATATATATACATAAAAAAAATGTATGACTTTATACTTATAATAAAGTAAATAATTAAGTTGGAATACAAATACAAAAGGTAATAAAAGGTACTAATTAAGGATGTAGTGCTTTATTTTATATATGTCAACTTTTATTTATTTATTTTAGGAGACAAATATTTTTTGAATTTGTCTTCAAATAATAATCATTTTTTATAGTTTAAAAATGAAAAAAATATTTTTTTAAGGGTTATTTTAAAGGTATACCTCTTATATTCAACTAGTACATTCAAAGAAACTTAAATTTGTATATTATGAATGAACTAAAATATATGTATAGACTTAATTGTATTTTAATTTATATTAAAAGATTATAATATTTAACAAATATATAAGTATATTTGTAAGTATACCACAAGTACATCAACAAGTTAAATA